ACAGGCAGACTGTGCCACTGGCATCACAGGACACCTACTACATAAGGCCATTTTACTAAGACTGGGAGACATAGCAGCTCTACCTAACACATAGAAACACAGGAAGGTAGCCAAATGAGCAAAGAAGCATGTCCCAAAGGAAAGAGTAGAACAAAGCTCCAGAAAAAGAACTAAACAAAATAGAGATAAGCAATCTACCAGATACAGAGTTCAAAACACTGGTTATAAGGATGCTCAATGACCTCAGGGAGAACTTCAATAAAGAGATAGGAAACATAAAAATGGAGATAGAAAACACAAAAAAGAACCAGTCAGAAATGAAGACTATATTAGAGGGAATCAACAGATTAGATGAAGCAGAGGATCAAATCAGCAATTTGGAAAATAAGGTAGAAGACACCCAATCAGAACAGCAAAAAGAAAAAAGAATTTAAAAAATGGGGCCTCTGGGACAACATCAAATGTACCAACATTCACATCATAGAGGGACCAGGAAGAGAAGAAACAGCAAGGAGTTGAAAACCTATTTGAAGAAATAAATGGTGACGGAAAACTTCTCTAACCTGGCAGAGGAAATAGTCATATAAGCCCATGAAGTACAGAAAGTGACAAAAAAGATGAACCCAAAAAGGCCCACAACAAGACTCATCATAATTAAAATGTCAAAGGTTAATGACAAAGAGAGAATCTTAAAAATAGCAACAAACAAGCAGTTAGTTACCTACAAAGGAGCTTCCATAGGGTGGTCAGCTGATTTCTCAACACAAACTTTGCAGGCCAAAAGGGAGTGACACAAAATAATCAAACTGATGAAAAGCAAAGACCTACAACCAAGATTACTCTATTCATCAAAGCTATCATTTACAATCAAAAGACAGATAAAGAGATTCCCAGACAAGGAAAAGCTAAAGGAGTTCATCACCACCAAACCAGTATTACAAGAAATGTTAAAGGGACTTCTTTAAGAAGAAAAAAAAGATAAAAAATATGAATAAAATGGCAATGACTACATATCTACCAACAATTATTTAAATGTAAGTGGATTAAATTCTCTAACCAATAGATAGAAAGGCTGAACAGATAAGAAAACAAGACCCTTACATATGCTGCCTACAAGAGACTCTCTTCAGATCAAAAGGCACACACAGACTGAAAGTAAAAGGATGGAAGAGATATTTCATGAAAATAGGAACAAACAATCAAAAAGCTGTATTGTAGCTATATCAAATATCAAAAAGTATTGTAGCAATACTTAAACCAGACAAAACACATTTTAAATCAAAGGTATAACAAGAGACAAAGAAGGACCCAGTAATCCCACTTTTGATTATTTATCTGAAGAAACCCAAAACACTAATTCAAAAAGATGTATGTATCCATATGTTCACTGCAGCATTATTTATACTGTAGCCAAGACATGAAAGTAACCTTAGCATCCATCAATAGATGAATGGATAAAGAAGTGGTACATATATACAACAGAACATTACTCAGCCATAAAAAAAGAATGAAATCTTGCCATCGACAAAAACATGGATGGATCTAGAGGGTATTATGCTGAATGAAATAAGTCAGAGAGAGACAAATACCATATGATTTCCCTTATATGTGGAATCTAAAGAAAATGAACAAACAGAAACATAGAGAACATTTTGATGGTTGCCAGATGGGGGAGGGTTGGGGGGATAGATGAAGTGGGGGAAGGGATTAGAAGGTACATATTAGTCATGGGGATGTAAAGTACAATATAGGGAATATAGTCAATAATACTGTAATCACAATGTATGGTGTCAGATGGGTACTAGACCTATTGTGGTGATCCCGTCATAAGTTATATAAATATCTAATCACTATGTTGTCCACCTGAAGCTAATATAATATATGTCAACTAATTGAAAAATAAAAAATTATTTTTAAAAATCCTTAACAATTACTAAATTCTTTTTTATAGGCAAAAAAAGAAAGAAAATCAATCAGGTAAATATCAACAAATTGTAGTTATAACTTTTTATCATCACATTTTAGAAAAAATACTTTGACTATCATTTTTTCTAGAGGTTGAAGTAATAAAACAAAAATCATCTAAATTTTTACCAAAGATGGTTTTTAAATTTCTAATGTTAACTGCATTAGTAACGTGGAAAACTACTACTTAAAGCTCTGCTCTGCTCTACCTGTAGATTTTGTGTGCATGTTCATACAGGCAATATCTAATCACTCCTAATGCTGATAATATATCTGAAGGATATTTCTATAAGATAGAGACAATTTAAACAGTAGAACTGTTTTCAAAAGGACAGTGCAATCTTTGCCCTCCTTTGCTCAATTTCACACAATATAATTCACATGTAGAATATTCTTATTTATCTTATATTTTTGGATATTCCTATGCATAAAACCAGCTATTTATAAACACTGAGCAAAGAACCTTACCTTTTGTTACATATGAGTAGGTTTGTCCTTTTTCTGCTTTACAAGCAAAAATCACATTTCCACAAAATAAAACGAGTGTTTGGTTAGTTAACTTGAGGTAGTGGTTAGGGCATAAAGCTATATAATAAGGCTAAATTGACCATTTGGTCACCGATCCCACCAATTAACTTTCATCTATTGCAGGGTCAAAGGCAGCAATTGCAGGGTCAAAAGCAGCATCAAAACCCCTGCTAGTCGGTTCTTTGGATTACAAGGAAAGATATCCAAATGTGCAGCTCAGTCAGCACAAATCACCATCACCATGTTCTATTTATCAACTTTACTGCAAACAAATCATGTTAAGATCTGTGATCTGAGAAGAGAATATCAATAAATAACTAGATCCTAAAATAGATGATAATCTAAGAGATAATGTAAAATCTATTGTAGGTGCTAAATTGAAGAAATATTTTAAAATCCAAATCCATTTCTATTAATCAACATTTATACTTTGAATTTTAAAATGCCACTGAATTTTGAGTCCCACTGCTAAGACAGATAACGGTGGCAGTAACATTCTCTTCTCAGCTGGAAGAAATGTATAAAATATATAAAAAGACAATCACTGATCCCTTGAACCTGTCAGCTTTATTAATCCATGTACTTTCACCTTTACATAACAATTGTAATCTAATAGGAACTATACCTTGAAATTACAATAAAAATTATCTTCCAAGAGGAGGCGAATCTGTTTCTTTCCTTACTGGTAGTAAGTACAAACCAATCACTTTTCCATCCTGTTTCTCTTCTGACCTTTAATTCTTTCCAATAATATGCTGCATGAGGCAATGGAATTACTACTTCAACTCTAGATTTGCCTCTCCTAGAAAATGTGAATTCCCTGAGATAGCATAGCTTCCTTCAGTCCTTCTTCCCACTGGCAGTTCATTAGAGTATAAAATGACACACTATATGGTATTCATCTACTCTCCCAGCAGCTCCTCCTACTAACTGCACCATGAAATTCTGTAGACACTAGGTGTGCATCATCAACCTCTGACATAGTGCCAGGCCATAGAAGGCTTTTGAATATATTTAGTGGAAAACTGAGCAACTGAACCTTTGAATCTCTCCTACCCCACTCAGTATCAGAAAAGCACGCTAAAAATATGGACAACTGTATTTTTGTATATATCTTTGACCCAAGACATAGTCTTTCTTTTCTTACTAGCCATACTTTCAATTGTCTTTTTGGAGAGAAAAGCCTTGGATCATGTCTGGTTCATTTTCTAATATAAACATTCCCTACAAGATAATAGAGTTCGGCATATGTCTAATCAAGTAAAATCTCACAATACCATCCCTGATTAACCATGTGGTGGTCCTTACAAAATTTATGAACCTATAAATTTTAACACCTATATTTTTAGTTTACACTAAGACTTGAGAATGCTTCCCAATATAGCTGATGTTAAGGAGGATGCCTGGAGAGACGGAAGCAGGGGGTAAAAAAAAAAAAAAAAAAAGACCATAGTCAAGAAACAATTTAACATACTTCTTCCATTTCCACCTTTATCCCAAGAGAATTTAAATGGGAAGGGAAAAAAAATGTGATTCAGAGTCAGCCATAAAGAAAACAAAAGATGCTGAATTTGCAAACTGTGCGTTTTAACCTATTCTTTCAAATATAATTTTTAAAGGATTTTTTGTTAAATCCACAGAATCTCGGCTTCATCCAGGCGCAGCTGAATCTCATCTCACCCAATATCCCCCGCCTCCATACATACACATACAGCGTTACCACTATGAGTCCCTGTGCCAAACCAACCATCACGGGAAAAAATTAAACCATGAGGATCATTTCCTAATTTTCTCTGAAAAATAGTCACAATTCTTTTTCCCACAGGAAAATAAATTACCTATTCTAATGGGATGGGTCGGGGGAAGTTTATCATGCAGCTTCTCATTCTCCAAGAGAGGAAAACAGCAATAACTTCCCAGAGACAACTGCTCTTCTATTATATCAAGGGTTAGAACCTAAAACACAAGCAAGCAAACAAAAAAGAAAGTCTCTTGGGGTATTCACATGAATAGAAAATTGAGGCATTGTACTTTGCAGCAATATAGCCCCTTAAAAATCCTCCAGAGCTTGGGGGAGGAGGATGACCCATCAATCCCCCCACACTCCTGCCATATAGGGGAGCAGGATTCTGTCAAATAGAAAATGCCACTCTCCGCCTCCTCCGCCATCCCGAACATTGAATGGCACAAAGTGCGGGGGCGACCGAGGGCAGAAGTGAAGAGGTAGGGGCACCACACACATACACCGCACCGAGCACTGACTCACGGCTTTTAAAAATGTTTTAAAGCTACAATTTCATCCAGCGGAAGGATTCCCTCCCATTCACCAGCCCCAGCTCACACCCTGCTCCTCCCCCCAACCGCGGGCTCAGCTGGGCCGTGTCCCCGCCGCGGCCTCGGCCCCCGCGTCCTACGCCCCCAGGCGCGCGGCCCCCGGCCCCGGGATCCCCCACGCGCCACTCACCACCCCGAGGCCCCGCGCGCCCAGGCCAGGAGATGCGTCGCACCTGGATGTAGTTGTTCTCGCAGTAATCCGCCACCCGTTCCAGATTTGTGTAACTGTCGAAGAGGGCCCGGCGGCCCCCCGGGATTTCCTCCTCCAGCAGCATCTGCAGCTCCGCCATCTTCACATCCTCCTCCTCCTCCTCCTCATACAGATCGCAGAGGTAGCGGCGGCAGCAGCGCCAGGGAAACCCAAGACTGGGAGAGGAGGAGCAGAGGCGACCGCGGCAACTCGGGAGGAGCGAGAAACACCCCCCGCGCGCGACAGGGGAGGGGGCAGCAGGGACGGGGGCGGGGCGCGAGCCGACGGACTCCGAGGACGGTCACCGCGGCGACAGCCGGCCGGGCGCGCGCACGCGCGCTCCCCTTTCTCCGCCCCCGGGCGCCTGAAAAAGATTCCCACCCTCGGCCGCTCTGCCTGCCCCTCCCCCACTTCCGGCGTTTCCTAGCGACGACGAGAGCGGGGGCCGGGATGCGCGCGGGAGTCGGGCGCACGGTTAACCCTTCGGCCCCCACAGGTTGAGTGGATCGGGAAGTACCCCTGAGCCTTTGTTAGTCCGGCGTGAACGCGCTGCCCGGCCCCGCCTTCTTCTCGCCGGCGCCCTCTGCGACTCCCCCGGGCGTTATCCTCAACCTGGGGCCCAATGCTGTGGTCATTGGCCTGAGAGATGTCAGCCTGCAAAACTTACATGCAGCTTTAAATGCCGCCTTACTTTTCATTTCTCTCTTCAGCTTTTGACCTCATCCATCCTTTTTGGGACATATAAGTCAATTCCAGTTTCGTAATCCCAAATTTTCTGCACTTTTTTTTTTTTGCATTTATTTGGCCCCTAATGCTGTTGTCCTCCGCCAGGTTAGCCTCTGTTGTGTTCTTATTTGCCCGCATGCTGGACTTCAGCTTTTTGTGCTTGTCCTCTCTATGACTCTCTTCCTCACTGAAAACCTTTTCTGTCATTTCTGTGGTTCTGTCAACTTCGTTTTTTGTTTTTTGGGGTTTTTTTGTGGAGTCAGTACTAAGTTTTTGAAAACGGTTTTACTAGTACTAATTTTATTCCTCACAGGACTGTCACATGGATAAAAGTTTATGTGAAAGCACCTTAAAAAAGTTAAATGCTACAAAAATTCAAGGTAGACCATTTTGATCTTGCAGTTATTATTCTGTTGTTTACCAGATGTTGTATCTTTTTACCTAAATCTAACTACTCCACAAACTGTAATCCTAAAAAACTAAATTCCTGACAACTGCTGAGGTATTATAAAGTCCATGACCTTTAGCTCTACTGTGGAAAGTCAAGGTTGACTACATTTGTAGTTTATACCAGGATCCATTATTTTAATTCGTTCTTGCTTTTGTGATCTCCTGTTCCCCCTACAGTAATCCCCTTTTTTCTCAGATGATAAGGAACCTACTGGGGGGTGCCAAAAAATGTATACAAGAAGACACTTTGGTCGACGTTGCTCAAGCAGTTCACCGTAATTAGGTGTCTGGACGCCAATGGTAACAACTTTGAGCGCCTCTTGTAATTGCAGGAGTCAAACGTGACTTGTATTCATCTTTTATCAGTATTTATTATTACAATTTTAATAGTTTCCCTTTCTTAAAATGTGTATACATTCTTTTGGCACCCGATTTATATTATACTTTATCAAAAAATCATTTTAATGCCATATCGTTACAAATTTCTGGAGGAATCTTTGATGTTGTATTGGCTTTATGATGAATATTAGCATATTGTTTTGAGTTTCCACTGTGGAACCCAAATTAAAAGGCAATAAAAATGTTGATCCAGTCCAACTAGTTTTATTCTTAACCACTTTAAACATCTTCTGTATTAGTGGTTCTCAAACTTCAGTTGTGAGGAGCTTGATGAAAATGAAAGCTACAGGGTCACTCTCCAGAGATTCATTAGAGAGCAGTAGTGATGGAATGGGGTAGTTATTTAAATGGCACATAAATTTGCTTCAGGGAATAAGACACTTATGAATAATCAAGTGAATGAAACATTAGATCAAGCAAAGTTTTCTTTCAGACTGAACTTCAATGGATCAAAGGCTACTGTTGAATTGTAAGGAGGCCAGCAGGTGAGTTAAATGGTAGACACTCTTTCCCCATTACATTATTCACACCTAGCAATCTTTGAATCCCACTTAGCAATTACCCCAATAAACAAAGTATCCCTGAGGGATGACTCATCCTCACAGGAATCACTGCGTGAAAACTGTAGTACTTTCTCAAATACATTTGCAACTATCTCTTTGGATCTTAGCTTCCTTATCTGAAAAATCAAAGGGTTAAATTCAGGTCAGTTCTCACACTTCAGTGTAGATTGGAATTACCTGAAGGGCTTGTTAAAACACAGATTGCTAGGTCCCACCTCCAAAGTTTCTGATTCAGATGATCAAGCCCAATTTATAGTCCTAACGAGTGTCCAGGTGATGCAGATGAAACTGCTCTTCTGGCTCTGAAGAGCTATGATTCCAATTTCTGGCAGCTGAGAATCTCCACTGAAAAAGGAGTTTTAACACTCAGCGGAATGTGAGGGCCCAAGGACATAAACACTTGCTGCTGCCACCAAGATAATTTAAGCAAAAAAGACAAACCACAAGATCTATAACAGTACATATATCATGTATGTTTACATATTATCTGAGTGGTGGAATTGTAGAGGTTATTTTTGTGCATCCTAATTTTCTAAAATGAACATGCATTATTTTTCAAGTGTCCGGCCTCCCCAAATTAGAAAGAATACTTTTATTAATGCAGCCCAAGATGACATTTTAAAGCAATTTTATCAGCTTAATTCAAAACATTAAAAACTCCTAATTCTTTTACATATTAAGCCAGTCATGTCAAATACAGGTTTTTTTTAAAAAAAAATCTAATCGCAGTTCTTTGTATTTACTGATAAAAATTATACCTTGGTTTTGTCCCGAATTTGAATAAGAATGTTGTACAAGTCAAGGCCAAGAAGAAAGCCTAATGGCTAGCCCCTGTAAGCCTCACTTAGTTATTTACAGCCACTATCAAAATACCATAAATTTGGCCAGCTGTAAATGTACCTTAGGCTCACACTTATCCAACATTTCATCATCCTAGTCACAAGGCTGGTGAGAAAGTGTCAAATTCTTCTGCTGAAATAAAGATACACTGTCTGGAATTCCCCTGATGTATATTGTGCCTGTAACTCTATCCTTAAGCGAGCAAAGTAAGGTAAAGGACATGCAGTGTCTGATAGTGTGGGCTCTAAAGAAATAAATGCATAACTGAACTGTTTACATTGCTTGTCTTATATCAAGAAGACATAACCATTCACTCCAGGCTTTCCCCTCAGATTCTTCCTGCACACCATTGACATGCTAATTACTCATAAACATTGTTTTCATCATTAACTCTTTGCCCCCAAATTTTTGGTCTCTCTTTTAAATGACATCATCCTATCAGTTTAGTGTCCTTACTATTAGTAAAAGGATTGATTAGTATTTACTGTTATTGTATTTTCTCATACATTTTAAAAATTTATTAGAGAACAAATAGCATCTATGGCACCTAAATACCAATACCAGCTGTTTCATATCCACACAATGGCAGTTCCTGTAATATTTATCACCTTTCCTGGTTGTACGTTAAATGCTTGGAAACTAGTAAATAAGAAACTATTAAATGTCTTTCTTCTCCATGAAGATACTTTGGAGTTTTTCTCTTGTACCTTGAGAACTTCAAAACTAGTTTTCTGGCTGCTATGTGATTTTATCAGGCAACAACAAATTTGACATATATGTAAACAATTTTATATATACATAAAATATGTCAATTAATGCATATATATATAGATACATATATATATACATATATGAATATATTTCAATGAAATTTAAGAATTCCTTTTTGTGCAATCAAGTTCCCTGTTAGAGATATCACACAGTACTCAGGAGAAATGCAAGTAGAGTACTTCAAACAAAGACATGGTTAACTGAGTTCCCATTCTTACCCCAAACAAGAAAAATAATTATCAGTGATTAATATTTTCATAGTATTTATACACTTTTCTGGGTTTTAATCCGATGTGAGACAATCAGAAAATTTTAATATCAAGTGCATATAATTTGAACATACTAAATCTTGAAACGAATGTTCTGTATATGATCAAGATGGCTGGAAAATAAGATTTATATTTAAGTAAGCTTTATCATCTGAAACTTGGGTTTCAGTTTTAGTGATACAAACTTTGGTCTCAATTTCAGGGATATTCATTTAATGGTTAAAAAGGTACAAACTATTTTTTAAGAAGTGTTACTGTACAATAGAGCATTACATTATTTATAGCTGTATGAATACACATTTTAAGAAACAAGGCAATTTTTAGTATCTTTATTATGGAAATTACAAACATACAGTATGGAGAATGGTGTAATGAATACACAAATACCCATTCATTAGATGTAATAATAATAGCTATTTTACCTTACCTTCTCATACTATTCTTATGCTAAAGAATTTTAAAATTATATTAATCATGACATTTAAGCGCTAAATACTTCAGAATATATCTCTAAAAAATAAGGCCATTTTGCTACATAACCACAATATTGTTAGCATACCAAACAAAATCAATGATAATCCCCTCATATTATCCAATACCTAATAAAAAGCATTTTTTGAAGAAGAAATTACTCCTATAAAGAAAGGAAATACCATATACCCAGATACAACCTGCAGGGATTATATTTGAGTACTTAGTAATCTATAATAGTTTCCTGTGAGAGACAACAAAATAGCTCCCTTCCTTGAGAAAGATAAAAAGAGAAAAAAATATTTTCCATTAAACCATGAGAGTGAATATAAGCCCGCAATTATTCAGGATAATGTATCTTTGTGTATAGGTTTAACAACAGAATAGACAGTTTATCTTGAAAGGCATGTTTTTGAAGAATAAAAATTCTTCAATTCTTTAGTTCTTACTAAAATTGACTTTACATATCCCTCCACCCAAGAAACAGATGAATTTCAGAGCTAACAAATAAAACAGATAAAAGTTCTATCACAGCAGACAGATCACCAATCAGTTCACAAAAATTAGATTGCTAAAATTAGCTACTTTTGTTCACACTTTTGTTTTAAATTATGCTAAAGATTTTATAAAACTTCAAGCCTCAAAATGTATTAACTGGGTTTTTATTACTGAAAACTACTGACCTTCATTTAATAATATGAACTGCTAAGAGTTTGAAATGTACCAATTTTTCTGATTGTGCATTTTTACCGCTAGAACCTGTATGCTGAATATTAGCTTACGTACAACGTGTATGATTTCCAAAGCTGCCAACCTTGTTTTATAACAATCTGTTTATCAGTGTCTGTAACGTTGCAAAAAGGTTACACTTTGACAAGGTTGTTAACTAAACACCCCAGTACATGGTGATAAATTTCACTTGTGTAGTTAAGTACAAGGTTGATGAGAATAAGGATATTATTCTTCACCACTCATGGCTGTGTTCATGAAATGGAATGTAAAAGAGGTTAACAGGAAAAAAAAAAAGACTCATGATTTTCTTTGTCAAAGTAATTTTGTGTAGCCTCTTAGAAAGAAAGGAGCAGGACAGAATAATTTTGTTATTTTAAAATAACAGGGAACATTGAATTTAACTACACTTAAGATACATCAGTAGGATTTCTTCCATCCTCTTCCATAGGAATTAACAATGTATTTCTCGCAGATTTGTTAGCTACTTCTACTATCTAAATGTCTACCCAGATGAATAAGTGAATGATTCATATCACTGAAATATTTCAGACGACTTTATGATGACATTTCAGGGAAAAATACCATTTTACCTACCAGCAGAAAAATCTTTGACAATTATGATTAAAATACAGGAAAGTAAGAGTTCCATCAGTGAAAGGGGGTCTAAGATGAGATTTTTAGCGTACTAGAGCACTTTTGCAACTTTAATAACTATGCATACTATGAAATTTATTTTTTTTTAAGTTTGGCATCTATTTACTTCCTAGTTGTAAATAATTTTAAGACATCCTAACGAGGTTTAAGCCACGTAATGATGTCATAAATAAGACATTTGTGGGGTTTGCAAGGACAATTAGCATGCAACCAAAAAGTACAGCCCTCAAAAACCACATGCCATGTGAGGTCAGCTATGCCATGTGAGCTTCATGGGCAGTCCTGCAGAACCCTGCTGCTCAGAAGAGCCCTATGCTAGGGGATTAATGCGTTGTGGGCAACATAGTGAAATTCTTAAAATTTTTATATTTGAATTTGTGTTTTGTAAGTGAAATCAACGGGACCATGGAGCACACTTTGGGGGTCTGCAGGCTACCTCCTTGCCTCCTACAAAGGTTCTGGGTAACCAGCTCCCTATTCCCTGGGCCCCACCTGGCCCTCGTCTCCCCAAGTCTGCTGATGATCATTGCTGCCTTCTGCCCAGGGCAGCAATAGGACTGCATTTGCAGAGAGCTGGTGACTGTGGCCAAGGCCTCATATTTTCATTTTGCACCAGGTCCCACAAATTATGTAGTCAGCCCTGATTGTGCCTCTTACAATAAACTCAAAAACCTTTATAAACATTATAGCATGGACTGTGGGACATCTTTTTTCAAGTGTTCGTTTTTATAAGACTATTATCCGATTTCTCTCAGTTATCAGTAACACAGTATGTATACTAATTTAACCAATTCTTTTTACTGAGGGGGCCTTTTCTTTATTTTAAATTCTTCCCTTAGAGAATAAGATGAAAACAAAAGGAAATCATATTCTGAACAAGTTAAAAAAAAAATTGTATGAGCCTGAGCAAATTCCCATACAACATAACCTCTTTAGCATAAATTTCCCTTATATAACAGGATTGGATTAGAAAATATCCGTGGATTCTCTTAAACATAACATAATATTCCAAAAATCAATTAAAACTAAAGTAAATCAAAGCTAACAAATTAATCGATCACACTTCTTACCTCAGATTAATTGTCTTCTGAGGTTCTTCAATTATTATAAAACAATTTTTAAAAACTGCACTACAGAAGAACATAAACATAGCTCTTTAACAAGCATCTGAAAATTTCAGGCACCTGTGTTAAGAGTTCTTCAGTAGGGCCAGCCGAGTGGCACATTGGTTAAGAGCTGGCTTGGGACGCCAGGGGGCCCCAGTTCGGTTGGCTAAGATGCTGAACAACAGCTCAACCTGGAGCTGGGCTGCAGTGAGTCGCCAGTGATGGCGTAGGCTGCAGCCCCTGCTGCAGTGAGTTGCCATGGGCTACCGTGTGTAGCCAGCAGCCACCGTGAACGGCTGTCCAGAAGCCTGCGACTGATCTGCCTCGCCCGGGAAGAACGCAATGATGGTGCCAACTTGGGCCAGTGAAGCAACGTCCTCCACAACTAGACTAAAGAACAAAAAGACAGCAACTTGTCTGTTCCCCTTCCCCCAATTCCCCAATAAAAATCTTTAAAAAAGAGTTCTTAAGTAAAAGTCCTAAGTACTGTTACTAAAAGGTCCCAGTGACTACCTCCTTATTCCACTGCTAAATAAATTCGTATTTCCAGAATTAGGGATGAGAGTTCCTTCCTCGTAAACTTTGAATCTCCAAAGCCTCTACCCTTCTCCTGGCCTGACATGCAAAATACAGCCTGATAGACAAGGGTATCTGAAGTAGGATAAAGGATATGAAGAGGTCTGATAACGGTTTCTCTCTAGCATTGCTAGATTGGGGTGTCTCTGTGCACATGCCTGGCCATTGTAAAGAAGCTTATATTAGATTTAGATTAGATGATTTATAGATTATATTTAGAAGGTCCCAAGAGGGCTGGATCAGTTTGGGGCCTGACCAAAAGATTTGGTCCAGAATTTCCCAAACTTCCTAGAGCCCTCCTTTGTAAGTCCTTTGAATAAGAAAAAACAGAAGCTTCTATCTAAAATTTTATCTTGGGTTTGAAACCAGATTGGTTGTTGATCCTGAAGAGAACAAGATGATATTTATCTTGGTGAAATCACTGTGTTATAGAACTGCCCTATTGCTTGATTTGCATTTTCCAAAATTGTGTAATTCCCACAGGGCACCAAGCAGATAGAAATATACCACAGTACCTAATTCTTGTGATTAAACCCTGTATTGGGAATGATGAAAACCTCAAAGAGACAGACATAAAATTTATACACACATTAAGCAAGGTTGTCATGGCAACTTTGCTTGAAGATAAGTATTTTTAAATCTAAGTAAATTTAACATTCAAAACACATTTGCATCTCCCTCAAAGGTTCTATATCAAGAATACTTTTTAAATTTCCACTTCCTTCTGAATCTACACCTCCTTGAAAGCTTAACAAAATCCTACGAATATAACAGCAGCATAGACTTAAGCACATATTTTCAGAAAGATATGAGAAAAATCCCAAGTGAAAGCCCAATAGCATTACTACTCAGAAGCCCTAGGCTTCTCCCTCTAATTTTTAGATTGTGAGCAGGCTATGCCATATAATCTTTACAAGGTCCTTTTAAGCTCTAAAAATCAATTATTTATTAGCTGATGACCTTGCTAACGCAAACAACAAATAATGAAAGTCGAACACCTAATGCTGCCATGTAATTAAGCAACAATTCATACAAATGACTGTAGTAAATATTGCTCTTTAACCTAGTCAAACCAATTCTGAACTTTATTTCTTCTCACTCTCAAAGTTCTCCAGTATTCCTGTGTAGCATCAATGTTGACAGTTTTCCTTGATAAGATACCTAGTTTAATTCTCTTGCTCATACACTAAAAAATAACAAAAATAATGGTTTGACTTCCAACAGTTCCTTGTGCTTCTTCCCCAAGGCCTATAACAGAAGACTTTGTGATCTTCGTCATGTATTCAACTACAAGTTCCTTCCCATGTCCCTTTCAGCCACTATCCTAAAGGGTCCTTGAGCTGCTTCCAAACCCAGGAGCTAGAGAGTTCTGAGTGCTAGAAGGTTAAGCTTTGGGACATAGGAATTTGGGATCCTCCCTCCTGGGTGAAGCACAGAAGAGAGAATACAGTAATAATGTCATGTCTGTTTTGTTCACTGGGAATATAGATACCCAGTGTCTAGCATAAGATCTGACATGCATTAAGTGCTCAATAAAAAAACTGCTGCTCAACTAAAGAGGCCCTATTTCTTAAGTTAGGAATGGAAGTCAAGTCAGGTGTATAGGAGAGAGTGAGCAGAGCTAGATGATGATGTGCTCCAACAGACAGAAGAGGTAGAGGGAAGGGAGTGAGAGAATATGAAATTCAGGTGGTTTGATTCTAAGACTATGGTCATTCCTAGGCTAGAGAATCTCTAGAGCATGCGTAGTTTAAGGAACTACCTAAGACAGATGTTCCTTGAAATTCCTATTTGTCTCTTGATCGTGTTGGACAAAATGGGTTCTATTCTATAGAACACCACTTCCAAGAAACCCTGGTTTTATAGGATACTAGGTATAACTGGAAAAAGGGGTACCATTATCAAATGCATTTGGAACATTTAGTGTTAAAATAGGTTTCTTTACAGAGCTCTCAGCACTTCCAATATATTAATATGCATTATAAATATGAGAAAAAATTAAGTATGGAGAATCTGAATATGAATATGATCCAGAATCTCTTTCTCAAAACATCTCACAGAATAGTGTTCCACGAGACACACTTTGGGGAACAATGCTCTTGCCATCCTAATAAAAATCTCTAATACCTAAACATTTCCTGGTTTAATGATGACCTGATAAGGTATAGAAGGAACAAAGTACTACTTGCTTACCAACTATTTTGGTTGGTATTTTGTATAACTATAGTCTATTATAAATCTATGGTCACACTTAATACAGGCATCACTGAAAGGTGTCCACACAAAAGTATTCCTAAATACTTTTAGAAATGAGGTACTTAGCATATCACAAAGTACTATTAATTAGCATCAGAGGTAGTTTGACTACCTGAAAATCTTTTTCAACTATTAAGTAACTTCAATAATTTCCTTTATTCTACATGCACAGAAAACCTCAATGAAGACTTCATTCATTTATTCAAAAATATTTATTGATTGCCTTTTTGGAGACAGGCACTTTACAATTTTATCTATAATACAGTTACAATAGTAAGGTAGCACAGTTTCAGTCCTTACTATCATGTGTTAAATATTAAAACAAGAATTTGCAAGTATTTTAGATAATAAGTGTGAGTGTGTGTGTGTGTGTGTGTGTGTGTGTGTGTGTGTGTTGTTTTTAATTACTCAACAGGATATTTGTGACTTATCCGCTCATGGCATTTTATCACGTGCTATATCACAAGATCCATTCCCATTCTCTAGAAAGATAGCCACCAAACAATAAACTAAATAGGTAGTGGAACAAGAAAAATGAATGGCATTTCCTGACTTTTGTTTATTTCCTGGATGTTTTACAAAATGGCTCCCAACTCTAATTTTAAAATTATCTATTAATTCATATCCATTTATTATTATAAAATTCTACAAATCAAACATTAAATTGGTATCTATTTTAAATGTCCATTCCCCAAAAAAAGAATATTCCCTAAGGCCCTTACAAAAATTAACTAACAAAGGAAAATGTTTAAAGTTCATTAATTAAAAACTAAACCATATTGTTATAATAACAGTAACTAAAAATATATATGTATATATAAACAGGAAAAAGTTTAAGCGGTTGTACAAAAGTGACTGTGTTGGTAGCATTGATTTCTTTTTTAAGGTTTCTTCTAATACTGTTGTTACAGTACTCTTATAATCATTTTCTTTAGCTATTATGACTAGTGCATCATTTGAAACTATTGCTTGATTCCCTTTTACAGAAGAACAAAATACACCAATAAACCCCACTGAAGATATTAAAATAATTTGAAGTTTTAGATCTTTTACTTACTATTTCTTAGCTAGTTCACCTATCTTCATTTACAGTATTTCTTCTAGCAAGACTGAAAAACTATTTTAGTTTGTCACTGAATCTACTGTTATGCTCTAAAGACTAAATGAGATAGGTATATAAAGTATTTGGTTTGTAACAAATGCCTCTTCCAGTCCCCTGTTCTACTTTCAGCTTCACTATTACTGCAAGATTCAGTCTCACTCCTTTTTATCAGTGCAGGTCACTCACAAAGGTCCAAAGCAACACTGTATTAAGGCTTTTTGGCTGTGCTGATTTCCTCTGACTCCTGTAGTAACAGTAACTGCTTTGTTGTCATACCCCCAGTCCCCTCCCAGCCCAAATCCTCCCCTTCTACCTTAATCATTGGTCTTAGTAACTTAGGAAACAGGCACAGGACTGGCTAAGAAGAAAAATAAAGTCACTGGTATCAATTTGTTGACATTATAAAAACCTGCCCTGAAAATAGTGTCCATTTCTCTCACAGCTATCTTCTCACAGCTACTATTATAAACAAGTCCTTAATGCTATTGATCATTGTCCTCAGTTTTACACCCTCTCGGTAGAATTGTGTTTTTCAATCTGTCAACAAAATCACATGTGAAAAAAGCTACATTATATAGGTTAACAATGATTTTATGGATCTGGAGATAAAAATTAAGATGTCTTCAGGGAAGAATCTTAATCTGTTTGCCTCAGAGTCTGAAAACAACAACAAAGATTTTTAAGATTTCCTCTTAAAGTTGAAATGTCATCTCAGTTTGGACTTAATTATACTGGATATTTTTCTTAGGACAGTGGAATAATTTATTTCTTAAATGCTCACCATAATGCCTATATTGTTCTATGACTTTAGTAATTTAGATGTACAAATATATAATGGTTTTTGATAGAATGAATGGAGAAGTAAGGACATTTTTAAAGTTGAAAAGCAAAACAAGAATATTGGAAAAGGGAAAGAAAGAAAAGTAAGAATGCCAAAAATCTGTGCTTACATTCTAAGTGAGAAGAATACTAATGTTCCAGTTGTAGAAAATGCTACTGTTCATAATATACAAAATGAAGAGAACATTATATATGTCTGTAAAATTAAATGCGGATAAAAGAGAGTAGAAGTATTTACCTCAGAAGCTTAAAACTGTTTTTCAAAAAGTAGTGGGACTATCAGTGACCGAGTTTGCTATTTTTGTGTTTCTATATTTCCTAGATTTTTCTACAATAAACTTATATAATTTTCATAACAAAACTAGAATATTTTGTTTTAAAATGTAAACTATATATTTATATAGATAAAGACAACAAATTTTGACATAGGGTCTATAAATAAGATAGAATCTAGTTATGTAAAAAAATGAAACTGCAGGTAAACAGAATGTGAGTTTTTCATTTTTCCCAAACACATGCACAGTATTAATTCTGCCTTGAATTTTATTAGCGCAAAGTGTGGAGGAGCCCTTTTATTCCATAAAAATGTGTACTGCTGTTTTTAACAACAAACTTCTGAACTATCAAAAAGAATGCAGATGGAAATCAGTGAAGAAATAATTTTTTAAAAACCAAAAAGCTACCAAACTTATGAGTCCTGCTAGAATCATGCTACAAGCCATCAGTGACACCGACGCTACTAAACTTTCAGTCATTTGATAAACACAAAGGGCCAAGTAAGAACAACAGTGAATGGATAACGTATTTTATACATGAGTAACAATATATTTTTAAATCCTCTTGAAGATGATTTTTTAAATATTTTGATAGTCATGTGACTATGGATAAAATGTGCTTATTAGCTGATTTTTCTACCCTCTATTTTCCTTGATTCCAATCATTAATTACACAGTGCCTCATTTATTGGCAATATGCCAGCTCCCTGATTCTGGCTCAGCTGCTCTGTTTTTGCTTGACCACTGCTGATCAAGTCTCACTTACTTTAAAATTCCACTTATCTCTTCTGATTTTACCAACATTTGGTTTACATATGAATTGCCTACTCTTGCCTACAACTGCCAGTTTCCAAACCAATTAAAGTAACAAAATTAAGGTAACAATTAAGGTAACAAAAAAAGATGTGCTACATACACAAAAACATAGAAAATGATAGGTGGGTGGGAAACAATTTATTTTGAAACATACCTTTTAAGAAACAACATGATGCTAGGAACTAAGAATACATTGGACTTAAAGTTTTAGAATTTAAATTACCCGTAAGTTAAATATTTTTGTCAGAAATAAAGGCTGCTTCTAATTAGATTCTATTGTTAACCACGTTTAACTAGGTCTAAAATGTGAGCTATTTAACTATAAACAGCATAAAATAACTCAATAACTAGGGTGCATTCTTGACACTAAGTTTACAAGTGAAATTCAGCAATGTCAAAGATCAGCTCACTTGCAAACATTTATCATTTTTCTTCCTTTCCTCTCTATCTGTACTTGGCATATTTCCTTCAGTTGTTGTTTTTAAAAATGTATTTAAAAAAAACAATTCTTTAGGAACGATGTAAGCAAAAAAAGGGGGACTAAAATACAACACTATCAATAAAAAAGTGCTAAATGTAAAACTTACCAGTACTAAATGTGTAAATTTTGAAAGATACTTAAAATATTTTTGAAATAGCCCCAATATTTCTTTGCTTACTAGTGAGACTATTTTTCTAAAAGCTTATTAGCTATTTCTTCCTGTAAAAGCTGTTTATTCATGTCCTTTGTCCATTTACTAACTGTATGTTTTCTTAACAATTTGTATGAGCTGTTTATAAATAATATGGTTATTATCTCTTTCCATCATATATTTGGCAATTATTTTCACCCATCTTTGTTTTCTTTTCAATTTGGTTTTGGCTAGTGCTCTCTCACTTCTTAATCATGAATTCATTATTCAGTATGTGACATAATAATAAATATAACAATTCTGTTGTTTCCACAACTAGAGAATTAGTGGAATAATTTAGTGCCAATAAGATTTCCAGCAAAAGAGAAGGACAGACAAGCCTCAATCTTAGTTTGTCACTTAGGAGAAACACTTTAAAACACATTAAAAAACAACTGTATTATTTTCAAAATGATCCGAACATTTCAAAATGAGCCTTATAAGTCATGAAATGACTACCACAGTCCAGGGAGGCATCAAAATAGCAAATACAAGATAGGTTACCCAATGAATTATTCAAACCTAATAACAATGACTAAACACAAACTAACTTATACTCAGAAAATAAAAACATGAATCCAAAAAATAAAATGATGGGAAGTCCTTTATTTTCCCTTTAAGGTGATTTATTGTAAGTATGAAAAGGAATAGGATTATGTTTCTCTTTTATAGTTATTCAGAAACCATGATTCCCCAAATTGTGCAAAATAATTTCTCTCTTCAGGAATATTAATTTTAGAGAAAACCAAGATAAAAAAATACAAAAATAATGGTATAGAAAGTGATAAGACAAAAAAGTAGAAAGCTTCCCATTATCATTATTTTGATGCAGTAAATATAAATATGTATCATGCATCAAAAAAATCTGATATACAAAAAATCAAATTTACTTAAAGTACTAATAGGTGCTTATATCGCACAATGATATATAGTTAATAAAAGGATTCAATGCAAATTTTCTAAATGGTCCTTTTCAACAAAATTAAATGTATAAAATTTTAATATCTCTTTGAGACAGTGATCCAAGCTTCTTCCTTTGATGATGTTACCAGTTCATACTTAGTTTCAATAACTTGTCCCGCTACAGAAAGTAGGTGTAGTCTCCTCACCAATACACTCAGAAGTACTGTGGTCACCATATATGCAAACCTAGTCAGAAAGAAAGTTGACCGGTTACTGAAGATTAACAATTACGCTTTAATTATATAGACTGCTCATTCTCATCAACAGTGATCATCAAATTTATAAGTACAAAGTCTGACATCTTTCCTTTCACTTTACTTCCTCTATCATCTCACCTCAACTCTGGGCATTCCTGCGTGCCTGAGAATCCAAGCAAGGAGAAAGTTTTCATTATTGATTCATCATCAAACCGGTCTGGATCAAACCTAAAAAGGAGATTTGGAGCTAATCACAACAGAACTCCACTGGTATTTTACATATTTACTTTACAAGAACACAGGTATGTAATAAAATTTAAAAACTACTGAAAATAGAAACTGCTATGCCATTATTGTATTTCATTTTCACCTATTGTTATGTTCCCAAATTATTGAATATATATTTTAGTCTCTTTCTGCTTAGTTGATTATTCTAAACAATAGATGCAAAATATATTTCTCTGGAACCAGCAATAATAAAATTGTGACATGAGTTTACATCATTTTATGAGATAAAAGGATAAATCATACAAAAGTTTGTATCCTTTTACCAGCTACTCCATATTTCCCCCACAACCATTCTACTCTGTTTCTGTGTTTGACTTTTTTTTTTTTAGATTACACATATAATTGATACCTTGCAATATTTGTCTTTCTCTATGGCTCATTTCACTTTAGCATAATGCCCTCCAGGTTTACCCATGGTGTGCAAACGGCAGGATTTCCTTAGTTTTTGAGGCTGAAAAATATTCTATTTTACATACACGTGTATATCACATCTTTATCCATTCATCCATTGACAGACACTTAGCTTGTTTCCATACCTGTGAATAATGCTGCAGTAAACATGGGAGTACAGATATCTCTTCAAGATGATTTTGTTTCCTTTATATATACTCAGCAATGGAATTGCTGGATCATATGGTAGCTTAATTTTTAATTTCTTGAGGAACCCCCATACTATTATATTTTCCATAGTGGTTGTACCAGTTTACATTCACACCAACAGTGTACAAGGGATTCCATTTATCCAAATCCTCACTGAGCAGCATTTGTTATCTCTTGTCTTCTTGATGCTAGCCATCTTAATAGGTGTGAGGTGATTGATGTCTCCTTGCATTTCTCTGATAAGTGATGCTGAGCACCTTTTCATGTACCTGTTGGCCATTGGTATGTCTTCTCTGGAAAAATGTTTATTTAGGTCCTTTCCCCATTTTTTAATTGGGTTCTTTCTTTTTTTGCTATTGAGTTATAGGCGTCTCTTATATTTTTTGGATATTAACCCTGCACTGGATATGTGGTTGGCAAATATTTCCTCCCATTCCATAGAATGCCTTCTCATTTTTTGATGGTTTCCTTTGCTGTGCAGAAACTTTTCGGTGACATAGTTCCAGTTGTTTATCTTGAATTTTGTTACCTTTGCTTTTGGTGCCAAATCCAAAAATCACTGCCAAGATCTTTGGGAAGGATCTTATTACCCCGTTTTCTTCTAAGAGTTTTAGGGTTTCAGGTCTTACATTCAAGTCTTATTCTATTTGCCTGATGTAAGATAGGCATGTGGATATCCCGTTTTCCAAGTAACATTTATTGAAGAGACTATCCTTTCCCCATTGCTTATTCTTGCCTCCTGTGTTGAAAATTAACTGTCCACAAATACAAGGGTTTATTTCTGGGCTCTCATTCTGTGTGTCTATGTGTCTCTGATCTACTGGGTTGTTGGAAAAGTCATGACGTATTTTTCTATGTTTTTCGTTGCAAAAATGTGTCATGACTTTTCCGACAACCCAATATTTGTCTGCTTTTATGCCCATACCATACAATTTTAATTACTATGGCTTTGTAATATAGTTTGAAACCCAAAGTGTGATGCCTCCATCTTTGTTCTTCTTTCTCAAGACTGCTTTGGCTATTTTGGGTTTTTTGTGGTTCCATGTGAATTTAAGGATTAGTTATTCTATTTCTGTGAAAAATAACATCGGGATTTTGATAAGCATTATACTGAATCTGTAAATCATTTTGGCTAGGAAGAATATTTTAACAATATTAATTCTTCCAATCCACGAACACAGATTATCTTTCCATTTATTTGAGTCTTATTACTGCCATCAAAATTTTATAATTTTCAGTATAAAGATCTTTCACCTTCTTGGTTGAATTTATTCCTAAGTATTTTACTCTTTTTGATGCTATTGTATATGGGGTTGTTTTAATTTTTCTTTCTGATAGTTTGCTGTTCGTGTATAGAATGCAACTAATTTTCATATAGATGGTCCCCACCTTATGGTGGTTTGACTTAGGATTTTTTGACTTCACAATGGTGCAAAAGCAATATATATAACTTATATAAGCTATTCAACACTTTATTATAAAAAAGACTTTGTTAGATAATTTTTTTCCCAACAATAGGCTAATGTAAGTGTTCTGAGCACATTAAAGATAGGCTAGGCTAAGGTATGATGTTTAGTAAGTGTATTAAATGCATTTTCAACATATGATATTTTCAACTTACGGTGGGTTTAATTGGGCCACATAACCCCATCATAAGTCTGTATATTCATGTTGTATCACGCAACTTTACTGAGTTCATTTATTAGTTCTAACAGTTTGGGGTGGAATCTTTAGGGTTGTCTATATATAATACAATGCCTGCAAATAGAGACAATTTTACTTCTTCCTTTCTGATTTAGATACGCTTTATTTCTTTTTCTTGACTAATTGTTTTGGCTAGAACTTCCAATACTATGTTGAATGAAAGCAGTGAGAGCAAGTATCCTTGTCTTTGTACTGATCTTAGAGGAAAAACTTTTTCAGCATTTCACTGTTGAATATGATGTTTGTAGGCCTGTTATTAATAAATATGGCCTTATTGATGTTGAGGCACACTTGTTCTATATCCAATTTGTTAAAAGTTTTCATAATGAAAGGATGTTTAATTTTGTCACATGCTTGGTAGGTTTTATGTTTCTAGGAATTTATCCATTTATTCTAGGTTATCTATTATAATTCGTTGGCATAAAATGGTTCGTAGTAATTTCTTATGATCCTTAGTATTTGTGCCATTAGTTGTAATGTCTCCTCTTTCATTTCTAGTTTTATTTATTTGAACCTTCATTCTTGTTTTCTTAGTATAAAGGTTTGTCAATTTTATCTTTTCAAAAGTCAGCTCTTAGTTTCATTGATCTTTTCTATTATCTTTCTAGTCTCTATTTCATTTATTTCCACTCTGATCTTTGTTATTTTCTTCCTTTTAGTAATTTTGGGCTTTGTTCTTCTTCTAGTTCCTTGAGGTGCAAAATTAGTATGTTTATTTGAGATCTTGCATTTTTCTTAATGTAGGTGTTTATTGCCATAAACTTCCCTCTTAGAACTCCTTTTGCTACATCACATAAGTTTTGGTGTGTTGTGTTTTCATTTTCATTTGTCTCAAATTATTTTTTTATTTCCCTTTGGATTTCTTCTTTGACCCTTTGTTTATTCAGTAGCATGTTGTTTAATCTCCAAATATTTGTGTATTTCCGGTTTTCTTCTTATAATTGATTTCCCATTTCATACTGGATCTTTTTTCACCAATAAAATACTCAATTTTTTCTGGGATTTTGAAACATTTAATCAAAAAAGAAAGTGGCATTTTACGTTAGGTTTACAAACTTGACACATTCCTAATATTAGCAATTTATCTATGTACACAATGTCTAAGAAAATAAGGTTTATGAAGACAGCAACAAGATATTTATTTAAGAGTTCATTATAAACTATAGCTCTTTGCAAGTGAGCATCAAGTTTAATTGTAACAAATCATTGTGAGCAAATTTACCTATATAAAAACATTAGTTAAATACAGTTCTCTGGAAATATACATTATACCTACAACTGTTTTTTCAGTGAGATTTCTCCTGTTTCCCCAACCCCTTACCATGGTCAGAAAGATGCTTGATATGATTTCAATCTTCTTAAATTTATTAAGACTTGTTTTGTGGCCAACATATGGTATGTGCTGTAGAATGTTCCATGTATACCTAAGAAGAATGTGTATTCTATTGCTGCTGTTGAATAGGGTGTTCTGCATACATCTGTTTCAATCTGGTTTAATGTATAGTTTAAGTTCAATGTTTCCTTATTGATTTTCTGTCTAGAAGATCTATCTATTGTTGAAAGTGGGATACTGAAATCCCTTACTATTAAGTTATTGCTACCTATTTCTCCCTCAGATCTATTAATATTTGCTTCATTTATTTAGGTGTTCCAATATCAGGTGTATAAATATGTGCAACTGTTACATCCTCTTGATGAACTGACCTGTTTACCATTATATAGTGATTTCTTTATCTCTTGTTAGTTTTTGGCTTAACATTAATTTTGTCTAATGGAAGTATAGCATCCTGCTTTATTTTGGTTTCCATTTGCATGGAATACCTTTTTCCATCTGCTTGCTTTCAATCTATGTGTCCTTATAGCTGAAGTGAGTCACTTATAGACATCATACAGTCAGGTCTTGTTATTTTATCCATCCAGTCACTCTGTGACTTTTGATTGGAGAATTTACTCCATTTACACTTAAAGAAACTGATAGGTATGGATATATTAATGCCATTTGGTTAATCGTGTACTAGCAGTTTTATAGTTCCTTTCTTTCTCTTTTGCTCTCTTTGTGATTTGATGATTTGTTGTTGTGGGATGCTTTGACTCCTTTCTCTTTCTACTTTGTGTATTTACTACAGGTTTTTGTTTTGTTATTATCAGAATTATGTAAACTATATTACAGTCATAACCATATATTTTAAATTGATGACTTCACTTCAAATGCATACGAAAGCTCTACATTTTCACATTCTCTCCCAAGATTTTATGTTTCTAATGTCACATTTTACATGTTTTTATATTGTGTATCACTAACACATTATTGCATTTTTAGTTATTTTTAGTACTTTTTTGTTTTGTTTTGTTTTGTTTTTTAGCTGAGCCATCCTGCCACCTGTTGGCAGCTCAGCTCGGACTGGACTCGAACCGCTGTTGCTCAGAGCTCAAACCTTTGAGCGAGCTCTTAACCAACTGAGCCACTCAGCCGGCCCAGTACTTTCGTCTTTTAACCTTTATACTATAGTTATAAGTTATTTACCCACCACCATTACACTATTAGAGCATTCATATTAAATATATATTTACCTCTAAATGTGAATTTTATACTTTCATATGTTTTCATGTTACTAATTACATCCTTTCACTTCACCTTGAAGAACTCCCTTTAACATTTTTGCTTTTGTTTGTCTAGAAAACTCTTTATCTTCTTCAATTCCAAAGGACAATTCTGCCAGGTAGAAAATTCTTGGTTGGCAATTTTTTCTTTCAGCACTTTGAATATATTGCCCTATGAAGTTTCTGCTGAAAAATCCACTGGCAGTCTTATGGGGGTTCCCTTGTACATAACCTGTTGCTTTTTTCTTGCTGCCTTTAAGATTCTTTGTCTTTAACTTCTGATAATTTAATTATAATGTGTTTTGGTGTGGGTCTCTTTAGATTCATCTTTTTTAGTCCTCTTCAGGCTTCCTGGATCTGGATGTCTATTTTCTGGTAGGAAAGTTTTCAGTCATTATTTTTTTGAATAAGCTATCTCTGCACCTATCTCTCCCTCTCCCTCTCCTTCTCCCCCCCCCTCCTTCTCAGACACCTATAGGGTGTATATCTGTCTGCTTGATGGTTGCCCATAAGTCCCTTAAGCTAGCTTCACTTTTTTTTTTCTTTTCCTGTTTGTTCCTTTGATTGAATGAATTCCACTGTCCTGTCTTCAAGTTTGCTGATCCTTTCTTCCATTTTATCTAGTTTGCTGTTGAATCCCTCTATTGAATTTTTCAGTTATATTTAGCTCTATGATTTGTGTGGTACTTATTTAATATTTTCTCTCTTTGTTCAAATTTCACTTGGTTCATGAATTCCTCACCTAACCTCTATGAGCATCATTATAACTGTTATATTGAATTCTCTACTGTGCAAACAGCTTATATTCATTTCATTAAGATATGTTTTGGAGATTTATCTTGCTCTTTTGTTTGAAGTATATTCTCTTGTTTCTTCATTTTCCATGACTCTCTGTGCTGGTTTTTTCACATTAGCTAAAACAGCCACCTCGTCCAGACTTGACAGCAGTGTTGTGTAGGAGATGAATCTCATTAATCAGCCCAGACTGAGCTCCAGGTTGCCTCTCAAACTTTTGTGATTATTCAAGCTGCTGTCTTTGTTTGTAGTGGCTCCCAGTAATTGAGAATATGCCAAGTCCTGCCTATGTCCAAAAGGAGAGGATCCCAGTCAGCACCTAGATGCAGACTGATTAGAAGATGGACTGTCAAGCAGGACTGAGGAAGTCTGCAGTCAAACCCCTTCCAAGGAGAAACTGGGAGATGGGCATTTTTGTTAATTCCCTCTGTGCAGGCCCCAGGTGTATAGCCACAGGGGGTGCTCCTATACCCATTTAAAAACTGTTTCCTTGTTTGCTAGTCTTGAGGGACTTGTGAATGCAAGTGCCACTGGCTATCACAGCTAGGTGATAAGGGCTTATCCCTCAGGTGGCAGGCATAAAAGCTGGACTGCTAGATGTGTGGACAAGCTCCTTCCTGGGAGATACTGCTAAGTTGGTTTTATTGTTGGACCAACATAGAAAGAGAAGGCAGTGGAAGTGCACACCAGCTATTTCGAGCTCTGGGGAAGATCACAGTCAGCGCCTAGATGTGTGGTAATTAGAGGTAAGATCCTCAGCCAGTAGCCTGTGAGATATGCAGCCAAACCCTTCCAGACAAAAACTGGGCAATGGGCATTTTTGCCTGCTCCCTCCGCTTTGAACCTTGGGGGCTAGACACAGCAAGTACGTCCATGCCTGTTAACTGCTTAACTGCTTCTTTGTTTGCTATAGTCCTGTGAGACTTATGAATGCAAGACCCACTTGCTATATGAGATAGGTGATTTGAGACACATCCCTCAGATAGCAGCTGTAAAAGTTGGGGCACTAGATATGTGTACAAAGGGGATACTGGCAACTTGGTTTTATTGTTGAAGTGGGCAAGAGGAAAAAGGTGCCCACTGGCTCCCTAAGGCTCTGGGGAGGGTCACAGCCAGTACCTAGATGTGTGCTAATTAGATGGTAGACTCTCAGGTAGCATCTTGTCAAGTGTATAGTCAACTTTCTTCCAGGAAAAGCCTGAGAGATGGGCGTTTTGCCTTACCCCCTGTGCTGAGCTCTGACTGGAGGAAGATGGGGGGGCGGGGCACGGTGAGTGCTTGTGCTCCCATTGTGCCCCATTAAGAGCTGCTTCTTTGTTTGCTGCAGTCCTGTGGGACTTATGAACACACGTCCAGTGGCTTTCAGAGCTAGGTGTTTTGGGAGCCCAATGCTCAGATGGGAGTCTTGAAAGTTGGGGCACTACTTGTGTAGTCCAGATCATCAATTATCAGGAAAATGTTGGAAGTTGGGATCACTCCTGATTGTATGGCACTGTCCTGGAGGTGGAATTTATGGCAAGAGTCTGTCTTAGACTTTCCTACTCGTTTCAGTGTGGGTATTTTTTCATTTTCCCAGTGTGTAGAAGTCATTCAGCTAGTTTCTGAATTTCTCTAAGAGGGAATTGCTCTTATGCAGCAATACATTCAGTGTATCTGTGGAAGGAGGGAAATTCAGGAACCTGCTTTGTCACCATCTTGGTCCCAGTCCATACTGAGGTTTTTGGTGTTTGTCTTCATTCTTTTCAGTTAAGAATTTTATATTAGTTTAGTTTTTTTTAAGTTGATAATATTTCATCATTTGATATAGAGTAGTATTGGGTTGTCATAAAAGTCATGATGTATTTTTTCTGTTTTCGTTGCAAAAATGCGTCATGACTTTTCTGACAACCAACATTTACATTATTACATTTAAATCATAGATTTGACCCAGGGTTTCTTGCTCTGAAACACTGCCAATATTGTAACAGTAATCATGGACTTCTATGCATTTTTTGGTTAATAAATCATATCTAGGCATTTTTCCATAGAAAGAATAAGTTAGTGTCAGTTACTCATCCAAAAAGAAAATATAAAAACCACAATAAAGTATCACCACATACCTATTAGTACTAAAGTAAAAAAATAGTAATAGTTAACGCTATTATGATAATTGAGGTTGTAGTGAAGAGGAATCTCTCAAAAAAAACGCAACTGGTGAGAATCTCTAAAAATAGCCTAGCAGTTTCTAGCAAAGCTAAATAAGTAGTAACCATATAACCCAGCAATTGAACTCTTATTGGGCATTTATCTCAAAGAAATGAAAGCCTATGTTCACACAAAAACTGCACACAAATCCTCACAGCAGCTTAATTTATAATAGCAAAATACTAGAAACAACCCAAATGTCCTTTGGTGGGTAAAAGGTTGAACAAACTCTGGTACATCCATACAACAGAATACTAGTCAGCCATAAAAAACATGTAACAACACACATTGACCTCAAGAGCATTAAGTTTAGTGAAAAAAGTCAATCTCTTCATCCTCCTCTGTTTGTAATTACATTTAAACTGTAATTAATTGTCTTCATGGGTCTATCCCAGTCCTAAGTACATTTTTTTAGAGTGAACTGTCTCTCAAGCATCATCTTAGGTGCTGACAAAAATGAATCTCTGGGCCTTCCACAAGATATGGGTAAGGAGGTGCCCAACTTCAGAAAGCTTTTCCTTAGCATACAACATTATTACTAACATTTCCTATATTTGATTACATTTGATTCCTAAAAGTGATTTCCACATTTTGGCATATATTCCTTTCAGTATTTTCAATTTGTAACCTAGAGCCTCTGAGTGTTTTAATGATAAAAATAGGGTCAAAAGTTCCAGCAAAGTTCTTATATTTTTCATTAAAATTTATCAAAAACTTGGCATTTTTCAACATGAGAATTTTGAAGAAGATTTTAAAATTTGAAATTTAGGTGTTTTTTTTTTTAATTATGAGCATAAACTTTCAACAAATGTATATCTTTAATTTTGCTATAAAAGCCACTTAGAATATAAAATTTATTTAATTTTACTTATAGCATATTTTGAAGGATTGCTATTTCATTTCTTAATAGCTTTCTTTTAATATCATTATAATATTAAAATCTAAAATGATAGGAACACTTAATATGCCCCATTCTTATCCTCCAGAAGTAGGTTTCCTAGTACTTCAACCATGCCACCAACCCTATCCCCCTGCGTTTCACACAGCTGCTTTACCCCCAATCAACTGAATATATATCCTTCTTCCAGGACAATCAATCTTAACCCATTTCCTTAAGGCAGATTTTACTACATGCCTATCTAGGAGGCAAACAAAAGCAGCTCTGTTCTTCAACTTCCTTCCCCCTGCCTTGCCATTCTCACACTTAACACATATACACACAAAACCCATCTTCTGAATTCAACTAAAGAGCTTAATATTTGAGACCAATAGCAGAAAAACAAAGAAACTGCATAAGTAATACCCACTTAACCAAAAATGAATTCCAAAATTCCACTGAAATTAAAAGATAGTTGTAGAGGGCCAGCCGAGTGGCACGTTGGTTAAGAGCTGGCTTGGGACACCAGCTCTGAGCAGTAGGGCCCCGGTTCAGATCCCACGAGGGCCAGTGACACTGCCCTCTACAGCTAAGATGGTGAACAACAGCTCGACCTGGAGCTGGGCTTCCGTGAGTCACTGGCGATGGCGTAGGCTGCAGCTCTTGCTGCAGTGGGCTGCCATAAAGCTACCGTGAGTGGCTGGCGGCCAGCGTGAGCAGTTGGCAGCCTGCATGAGCTGCCAAGAGCTGCCCGACCTATCTGCCTCACCCAGGAAGAGCACAATGATAATACCAACATGGACCAGTGAAGCAACGTCCTACACAACTAGACTGAAAAACAAAATGACAGCAACTTGTCTGTTCCCCTTCCCCGATTACCCAACACTGTTCCCCTCCCCCAATAAAATCTTAAAAAAAAAAAGATACTTGTAGAGATCAGGTAATTAAAAAGATCTTAGGATAAAAGTGGTGAGAGGAGAGACAAAGAGTAGCAGACAGAAGATTTGTAAAAGAAACAGTAGTGAGCAGAATATATAAAGGGAAGTCAGTGGCTTTCTTTTGTTTTATCATTTGTCACATACTGAATTTTCTCCTCAAAACTTAGAAAAGGAACACAAAACATGCAAACACATAAAAATCAATAATCACAATGACAATGACAGATATTTCATACTTATACGGTGATGGCCAAGTACTGGGATCCTGAAGTACCACACCGAGGGCATAAAGGACAAGGGTCTGTGGAAAAAAAATGACTCTAGTTAGTCAAGGCCTAACAGAGACAAAATGACTCCCAGAAAGCCAATTCATCAATGTTCTTTTAATATAATGAATGCAAAATAAAAATATAAAATAAGATAACACAAGCCATTATCTTGGTGATCTTATAGTGGGGAAGGTATCCCTAAGCATGTCACAATCTGGAAGCCACAATGTGATAACAGATTTAACTATATGAAAGTTTTAAAACTGCATCCAGCAAAAACAAAACAAAACATACCGCAAGCACCAGTAAAAGATAAATAATAGAAGAAAAAAATATTTGCCATATAACTGAAAGGTGGCATATATAATTTACAAAAAGACATAGAAGCTCACTAGAAAGAAGAGTGAGTTACAAGCAGATAATTCACAAAAAAAGAAATACAAACTGTTAGTATCTGTATGAAAAGCTGCTCAAGCTCTCTAATGATTAGAAAAAGGCAAATTAATGGGACAATCCTTCATATAAGATTCACAAAATATGTAAAAGATTCATAAATCAAGAGGTGGTGAGGATACAGAGCAAAAAAGCATTCTCATACACTGCTGCTAATAATATGAATTGCCTTTTAGATGGCAATTTAACTTTAACATGCATTTGGTCTTTGACCCCAAAACTCCATTTCTAAGACTCTACCCAATATCTCTACAAGCATATAATTTGTAATAAAAAAAAATGTCAATCTAAATTTCCATCTATGGGAATTGCTTAAATAAATTATGCTACATAGAATACTATGCATCCATTAAAAATAATGAGTTGGATCTGTATCAAACCAGTTGTACTAGCAGCCATGATACACTCAGTAAAAGAAAATTAAAAAACAATATATAAAGAGTAACCTTTCACATATAACTTGTTTTTAAAGTACACATAAATATCGGTGTATATGCACACACAGAGTAATATACATATACAAAAAAAATCTATAAAACTACATATTAAACTAGTAACAGCAGTACCCACAGAGAAAGGAGCTTTTCTTCTATATTGTTTGAACTTTAAAACAAGGATATATTCTTTAGTCGTTTAAAATGATTGTGTCTTTGATTTAATAATAGTAGCTTTACTGGACATGTTAAACAATAAAATTTTAAAATATAGACTAAAAGAGTTGTAAAGAATAGCTAAATGACTTAAGTATACTAAATGTTTCCTACCTCTCTAGGAATAATAAATTTGTCAACCTTTCCTTCAATATCTTGAAGCCTGGCAGAAACTGGTGTCAGTTTGGCAGTTCGAACAGTTTCACAAAGCACCTGCCGACAATACCTGTTTAAAAAAAAGTTTTGAAGATCTTTACTTTGGGAGAGGCAGTTTGAAATGTACATACATTTTAAAGTGTCATTCAACAACTTTCATAACCTTCCTAATTTGAAACAGTCACATGATAATTCTTTTTTGCTTGAAGATATAAATTCCATATTAAAAATATATAAAGTCCAGGTGGGGAAAGAGTTAAGCAAATAAAAACACCTTTAAAAGTACCAGAAGGAAACTCAAAACAATATTTTTATAATTTTTAAGTACAGTCCTTTATTTTTAAAAATTTTAATAAAGGACTTTTCTACTCAAAAATTATAAAAATACTGATATGACAGAAACCATAAAGAAAAGTAGAAATAATCTGACCATGGAAAATTTTTTTTTACATATTTTCAATTATCGTAAGTAAAATTAAAAGACAACTTGGAAAAATATTTATAGCAAATATATCTTTAATGTATAAAAGCTCTTTAAAAATCCATAATTAAAATAATCAATACCCCAAAAGATATATATAGGCATAGAATATAAAAAAGCAATTGACAAAATAAACACAAATGGCCTGAAAACTTATGAAATGATACTCAACCTCATTAATAATGGAAAGATTGCCAATCAAAGCAATTATTTTTTACTTGCCAGATTAGCAAAGATGAAAAAGAATGATAATAGACAATACTAATAAAAAGTGGGAAAAAAAGACACTCATAGTCAATGGATGTAAGTATAAATTTGTATAACCTTTCTGAAGAGTAACTTAACAATATATATATAGTGTAAGAATATTAAGTGTGCATCACAATAAGAATAAAACTAAAATGCATTGAAATCTTGTCACAGACAGTTCTGTTAAATAGTTTCTGTGCAGTATCTCTTTTAATCCTTATAAGAACCTCATGGATCCTATTACTATTTTAATTTTACAGATTTAAAAATGAAGCAATTGTTTAAGATCATACAGCAGGTAAGTAGTATTGACACGATTCAAATCCAGATATGTCTTACTTCACAGCCCCTATACTACTGCCTAAATCCTTACATGATAGTCTCATTTCTAGGACCTTAGTAATAGGAACTGGAAATATTAGCAAAGATGTAAGCATATGAATGTTGATTGTTTTAATATTTAAAAACAAAAGAAGAAACTTCCTTCCTTTCCTCTTAGAACAAATATTTACTGGGTACCTACTACATTAGAAGCACTGTATAAATACTCAGCTACAACAGTGAACAAGACAGATACCCTCAAAGGAATTCAAAGTCTAGTTGACAGGGGAAGAGAGAAAAGAAGGGACATCAAGAATGAACAATTAAAGAAGCACATTAACTTTTATGATAAAGAAAGTTGATGGTAGTAGGGAACACATAACAGGAGCACCTAACTAGAGAAAGGACTATGCAGAAAAATGAACACTTAGGCTGAGACCTGCAGAAAACAAAAACAAAAACAGGATTTAGCTACAGGAAAGAAGACGAGAGAATCTAGACAAAGAAATAGTCTGCAAAAGCCAGAAGGTAAGAAAAAGTGCTGCTGTACCTTTGATGAAACAAAAGAATTTCAGTATAGTTGAATCCAAGAGTATAGAGAGACACAAGTAATAAGAGGTAAGGTGGGAAAGGGATGCAAGGCTTAGCTCTTGAAATGCCTCATCAATGATGTTAGTGAGTTTAAATTTTACTTTAAGGCCAACCAGAGTCGCTGAAGGATTTTAAATTGGGAAGTCATCTGATGAGATGTGACTCCCCAGATAAATCAAGATCACTAGCACAGCAATTCTCAACTTTGGCTACACATTAGAATCATTTGAGAAGCTTTTGAAAACCTCTCATGCCCAAAGATTGTTGGTTTAGGATTGGTCCCAGGTTGTCTGTATTTTTAAAGCATCTAAAGTGAGTACAGTGTGCAGTCACAGGCTCCAGCAGCAATTTGGAGAAAGGACTAGAGGGGAGCAACATCCAAGACTGTTGAAATATCCCAGATAAGCTGATGGTGGTCTGGATGGAGTGGGTGCACTGGAAAGAGCTAAACTAAACTTCCAACTAAAAGTTGTTTGGAAAGTAGAATCAACAGAACTTGATCACTGATAGGCTGTGGTGGAGTTATTGCATATAAGAATACTGTTCACAGAATAGAGAAAAAATGGAATTTACATAAGAGTTACGTGTTTTATATTTTTAAATGTTTTCAATTTTTTGCTTTAAATACGTATGCATATATGCATAGAAAAATCTGGGAAAATAATAAAATAGTCAACAATTGTTATTATCCCTTAAGGAAATATTTACAAAGGACCTTCTACTTCATATATTTCTGTATTATAAAAAGTTCAAAAGGCAAGTATGTATTACTTTTAAAATTAAAAATAGTTATATTCAATGTAATAAATAAAAGTTCCAACATTTTGAAGAATCTGTAACAAAATCCTCCCTGTGAAACCCATGGCTTCGAGTTCTTTCCAATGGCTATATCCCTATCTTCTCTTCTATAGTTGAAAGATGTTGCAAGACAGGGTTGTTTGCTACCCAGTCACAGACTTCCAAGTGCCTAAGCAGTCACAACTGCTATTTAAAAAAATCTTTTAAAGTCATTATTTACATATTAAAATAAAAATCCTCTATTTTAGCTGTATAATTTTATGAATTTTAGTAATTATATACAACTGTGTAACCACAACCACAAGCAAGACTAGAACAGTCCCCTCACCCTAAAACCTTTACTCTTGCCCTTTTTCAGTTGATCCCCTCCACATTACTGGCCCCAGACAAACACTGATCTGCTTTCTATCGCAACAGTTTTGCCCTTTCTAGAATTTCACCTAAATGAAATCATACTGTAGGCAATCTTTGTGTTTGACTTCTTTTACTTAGCATAATGAGATTTATCTATGTTGTTATGTGTATTGATCTTGTCACTTTTTATTACTTGGTAATATTCCAAGGCACAGATATAATACAATTTGTTTATTCACCAACTGATGAACACTGGGACTGCTTCCAGTTTTTTGCTATTATAAATAATATTGCTATGAACATTTGCATACAGGTGTCTCTGTGAACATTTGTTTTCACTTCTCTTGGGTGAAAGCCTAGGAGCAGAATTGCTGGGTCATAAGGTAAAGTGTATGTTTATAGATTCTGCCACACTGTTTTCCTATAGGACTGTGCCATTTTCCATTCCCACCAACAAAGTATGAATGTTCCACTTACTTGACATCGCTGATATTATTTTATACAGGCAGATTAATGTAAAGCTTTCCCAGAACTACGTTATGATTTTTAAAAGTATATTAAATTATCTATTAAAATCTGTTGGTAAACATTTTAAGTCCTATAGAGATCTATAGCTTTCCTAGAGATTAGCATTAACTTTAAATTAGATAGTGAAACCAGCTCAAAGGTACCTTTAAATGACCTCCTCTTCCTTTCATGGTGTTCTTACCTGAGCTGATCAATTTTCTCTGGAGTAACAGGACCCTTCCCAAAAACTTGGTCTATCTCTTGATACAGGTTTTTCTGCACTTCTTCAGAGGTGGTTAAAAAACAGATTGCCCAGGTGCACACTAAGTGAAAATTTATATTAATAACAATGAAAATAGCTAATTCATAGTTTGGGTACAGAATAAAAAACTTACTTTTTTTTTTTTTTGGTATTTTCCTTTTTTTCTGATATAGAAGATACATAAATGCTACCAAAAAATAAAACAAGGTTGTTCACAGGATTTGTGCTTCATTGAACAGAACATAAATATTTACAGAGTACTCCCCAAAAGAGATATTGCAATCTGGAAGATTTCTTTCTTAAAATTGGCAAGTAATTAAAGCCATTAAATGCATTTACCTTAGGTAAAATAATGATGATAATAAATAAATTTCATATCTGGGGGAGTGTTAAATGTTGATAACTTTGATAGACTGTCTGGTTCACTCAACCATGTAAAATCAAAACACTCAGGAGCCCTGAAGAAATGATTCATACAAATCAAAGTAGCAGGAGATTTACCTGTAAATCAATATTTTAAATTTTTACTTGCAATGGTAGATACACTGGCTCAAGAACTAAAACTGGTTATTGCTTAGGACAGTGGTTCTCAAAAATCACCTGTGAGTTGGTTGATGGCACAACCTCACATCCTCAGATTCTGATTCAGTAGGTTTAGGGTGGGGTGCAGTATCTAAACTTCTAACAAATACCAATTATTTTGATGAATGCCAAAATTGAAAAATTATCTTATGGCTTACTTTTGGTTAAAATGGCTTATAGGTTATATTCACTGTGGAAATGAAAAGGTAAGAAAATGACATAATGAACATAAAACAGAGAAAAGAGTTATATTCCCTTTAGTAATCCACTGGGATTACAACTACTCAAAGAACAACCATCCAGACATATAGTACCTCTTTCCCTAAATTATGCTTGAGATGACTCTATATATAGTTCTACTTTCTCCATGTCAAATACTTTTAAAAACACATTTACTAATTTCTACCTCTACTTATTATCTTTCCTGAGCTAAAGGCTGACTTAAATTTGTCTCAAAGTTAATTGTTTTTAATGTTTGCTTAATTTACATATTATCTAATTCCTATGCCTGGAAAAGACTTAATTCACTTTCTGCACTAAATATTATCAAATAAAATCAATAGGTACCTCATACTCAATTATTTTGATAATTTACTCACATGTAGAGTTCAAAAAAAGCATGATGAGTTAACTGCCTGTCCTTAACTTTTGCCTATGTATGCTTCTTTATTATGACTTTTGAGTGAACTGTATAATTTCCATTTCTTTCTATTTCACAAGTCACATGAAAACTTGTGCAGACAGTGTACAATATGTGTATGTATGCAATTTTACAATGCACAATAATATACAATATTGAAAGATTTAGCACAAAAAATTGAATACAGTAGAACTCGTATATCCTGCTTGACTATATTATTACTTAAAATATAACTATATAAGGCCGGTTGAGTGTCTCAGTTGGTTAAGAGTTCGCTCAAGAGTGTGAGCTCCGAGCAACAGTGGTACGAATCCCGGCCCAAGCTGAGCTGCCAACAGGAGGCAGGATGGCTCAGATTAAAAAAAATAATAATAATAATAAAAAAAATATATATATATATATATGTATGTATATATATATATTTTATAGTTATATATTTTTTATAGTTATATATATATATTTTTATAGTTATATATATAACTATATAAGCTTAATACTCTCAAGCATTGGTTCTTTTATAGAACTCTATTAAAAGTAAACTTTTAATGGGGATAGCTTAAAAATGTGGTTTTTAAGCCACTGAACATTTTTTAATTACAATACTGAACCAAGACACAATTTTATAATTGAAAGATACCTTGGAGGTTATCTAAAGCTAAACCCTTATTTTAGAAAGGGAGAAAATGCAGAGGTAAGTATCTTGTTCAAGGCTAACAAGAAAGAATTTTAATTAAGGTTTCCTGCCTATCTTGCCTCTCAAAAACTTCAGAGGTGACTTAAAAAATAACCAACCCACATGCGAAGAAATAGCAATACTCTAAAAATTCCTCCCAAAAATGTAAGTAAGATTAAAATATTAACTCAAACTTGGAAATGATCACTTTTTGTGAGTACAAATGACTCAGATGTTTTTGAAGGTCTTTAACAAAAAGTTATTTTAATGTAACAAAATTTTAAAACAAGCATTTTTAAAAAGGTTCAATACATTATTTTTGACACATGCTTACCTAAATTCCATTTAGTCTATAATATTTGGACATCTCTAGATGTCAAAAATTTTACAAAGAAAAAAAATTTATGGGAAGTTTACATTTGTACTCATCGTTTATAAGAATATTTCCTTAAACAGAAAGAGTTGTAAATGAAATCCTTCAAAAGAACATAATTTTTTTTAGGTTTGAAACTGTTTTAATACTTCCTTTAGCATTTTATGTTAGTATATTTTTATAGATACACACAAACTATTCCAAATACTGTATGAATGACTGGTATACTGCTAAACTAAAAACCAGTAAGGAAACTTAGAAACATATCATATATTTTAGAATTTTAAATAAAAATCACCTTCAATTCCACCAAAAGAAGAGTTCTTTTAAATCGTGATTTCTGTGGCCTATCTCTTCTTTTGGTAGACCTTAATAATAGCAGTGGATTGGAGTTAAAGTGAAAAGCCTCAGCAGGAAATTGAAAAGCTCACTGTTCCGGCTGGAAAGGTGTCAATAGCAGTTCACTTTAAAGGCACTAACTAGAATTCACAATCCATAAAATGTGTCAAAAATTTTATGGCAATGTTCAGAGGTGGCATAGAACACCTGGGGTGAAAAATAAAGGTACATGTGTGAATGAAGCCTTTCAAACAAGAATAAAAACAAAGAGGGAAGGGAAATTATAGAGGTCTTGTAAACAGCATTTCCTTCATTTCAGAATACCTTTCTTTACCCTTGTACATTTTGTAATCTAGCTCAAAAAGGAATCAACTTATACTTACATTTTGCAGTTATTATGCAACTGGCCAGAGAAAATATCATGCTGTCCTCTAGGATCTAGAAAACAAAACTAAGTTTAGAAATAACATATAGAATTAGGGTCAAGGAAAGGAGAACAGTATATTATTTCTTTACAATGTTTTCACTTAAAAAAATATATATATACATATATAAACACACACACACACACACACACATATATATATATTATATATATATATATAATATATATATATATTATATATATATATATTGGGTTGTTGGAAAAGTCATGACGCATTTTTGCAACGAAAAACAGAAAAAATACGTCATGACTTTTCCGACAACCCAATATATTTGTACATACATAAATCAACCTAAATACTGCAGTGCCTTTTTGATGCAGTAAACATTTATCTGTAATATTACTATCTCATGATACATTTTTGCAAACAAACTGGTTCAGTCCTCTCTTTCTGGCTTGATCTGGTGCAGCAATGAAGCCTCTGGAACAATGAAGAACCTCACACTGTCCTTGGAGCCTGATTCAATTTCTGCACCCACACACACCCAGAAAGCCACTTGTCTATGAGGACTAACGTGTAGAATGGGGTTGAAGATTCCTACAATAAACAGGTGTGGCAATAATGGCTCCACTCTTATCCTTTGCCTGACACCACTACAAACACTGGTGTGCTGGGGATAATACACGCACACTGGGAACAAGCCAAGCTGCCATACCTGGTCATGCAGGTAGAGCACCTTAATCGATACAGGCTGATATAAATCCTCCCATTTTAAGATCAGAGAATTTGGCTTAATATTTGCTTACCAAACATTAAATAATATACAGCTGATTCAAAGAGTTAAATAATAGGAGACTAAATATTTATGCTATTTATGGATGATATACAATAAAAGAGAAAAAAGCCATTGAATTCTAGAAGGGCATCTGGATTAAAGTGAATAAAAAACACACTCTATACAAGTGTGATTATCTTTTATTTAATAAATATTTAGTAATTACATCACCTGTTGGTCATTGAGGTTCCCCTGTACTAACGAGTCAATGAAAATATGTTGACTGAAGTTCCTTCCTTTTCGTTCTTTTATGATTTTCTTTAAAGTAGATTCCAGTTCCATAAGGGCTTAGAAAAAAAAAAGATTTTAGAATATAAACACTTGTAAAAACTGAACTTTTTAAGTATACAATGTTACTATTGCAGAATAAAATTTTCAAAGGTAAGGGTATTAACCAACAATTTTTAAAAAGCTAATTTATGTTTAAACTCTACTTTGTTTTCCTTCTTTTTGCTAAATTTTACATACATACAAAAAGAGTACATAAAACATATACGCATAATCTAAGGAATAACTATAAAGCAAACACCCATAATATTACCACCCAGCTCAAGAAGTAGAACAATGCCAACACCTTAGAGGCCTCTACACATGTAACCTCTCCCCTGATATCCACCTTCCTTCTAAATTCTGTCCTCTTAACTTCATTCTTTTTCCAAATCAGGTATCACTCCTTTATGGACAGAAAAGATGTGAAATAATCAGAAAAGTAAATTTCTGAAACCTAAAAGATAAATAACTGATATCAAACAGCCAATAAAATTATCCAAAGATTATTTCTCTGTCCCCATCTTACTTGACCTATCATAGAATTTGATGATGTTGATTACTTGCTCTCCAGGAAACACTTTTTCCTTTTGCTCCCAGGATTCCATACCCCCCTGGACTTCACACTTTTCTCCCACTTTACTGCCTGCTCATTCTCAGTCTCCTTTGTTGATTCCTTCTCATCTCTCAAATTTTTAAATTACAGAATGTCCATGGTCAAGATTTAAGTTTTTGGACCACTTTTTCTGTTTATATTTATTTGCTTGGTGACCACCAGTCAGTCTCAAGGCTTTATATACAACCTGTGTACTTAACACTCCCAAATTTATATTTCCAGTCAGGGTACCTCTTTCCCCTAAACTCCAGACTCATATATCTAACAACCCCCTCAGCATCGCCACTTGGATGTCTGAAGCATATTAAACATAACATATCCAAAACTGAACTCTTGATCTTTCCCCCCAAAGGTGGATCGTCCTAGTCTTCCCCATCTTATTTCATAATAACTTCATTTTCCAATTACTCAGATCTTGGCGTCTCCTCTCTTATACCACACATCTAATCTGTAAGCCAATATTGGTGGTTCTAGCTTCAAAATACAGAATTTTCTCCCTTACATTTTTTTTCATTTTATATTTTCTGGGCCTGCACCCTAGTCCAAGCCACATTATTTCTCTTGCCTGGTTCATTGCAATAGCCCTCTAAGTAGTCTCCCTGCTTCTGTTCTGGGCCCCTATAACTTCTCAAAGCAGCCAGAGTGATCCTTTAAAAACATAACTCAGATCATAACTCTGCTCAAAACATTTCCAGTGCCTTCCTACCTCATAGTAACAGCCTAGTCATACAATAATCTATAAACCAGACAAAATCTGCCCCGCCTCCCAATCTTTTTGGTCTCATATTCACTTCGCTCCAGCCATACAGCTCCGTTACACGTCAAATACACCAGAAAGAATCCCACCTCAAGGACTTTGCAATTAGTTTTCCTTTACATGGAATAGTCTTCCCTTGGACATGAGGATGTCCACATGATCTGCAATGACTGGTTGCCTTATCTGTTGCAAGCGCTGGCTCAAAAGTCACCTAATCTTGGTGAGGCCTTTCCTAATAAACTTACTTAAAACTGTAATCTCCCCACCCGAGCACTCCCTACCCACCTTCCTGATTTAATTTTCTCCATGGCATTTTTCATCTTTTAACACACTATTCAGTTTACTTATTTAGATTATCATCTGCCTCTTCTCACTAGAATGTGCTGCCACAAAGACAGGAATTTTTGTTTCTTTTGTTTATTGACACCTGCCAACCATCCCAAAAAATACCAGGCTATTATAGATCCTCACTAAATATTTACAAATATTTTTTACAAATATCTATAGACGATTTAATCATGTTGATATTATTTCCTTAGCAATTCCTATATTGTTGGACACTTAGATTGTTTCTGGTTTTCTACTTGCAGAAATAACATGAATAGAAATATTCATGAATGTTTTCTTCTTTTAGATAATTTCATCCACTATTTACAGCTCTTAATGTGTACCATCAAATTGCCTTCCGAGGATTGTATCTGTATACTTTCCAGTAACTTGTAGGCTATCCCAGCTCTACAGCATTCTCATTCTGCAGTGAGTGCTAGAGTTCCACTATACTAATTCACTACTTTTCCACTTTTTTGTTTAAGAAAAACTTTCATTATAGGAAATGTAGGAAAATAACAAAGAAAGAAAACACACATGAACTATAACCTCATTATTCAGAGATAACCCAATTAAAATTGGGGCACATATCCTTTTGTCCTTACTAAAAATTAAAAATGGCAAAACTTACCATCTTCATATTGTCTTTTCCGAGTTGTACTTTTATCAAGTGATCCATCTAGAAAGCCTTTCCCAATCTCAGACCAAACCTGAAAATAGGAAAACATACCTGTTATCTAATAAGTAGGTTTTCTAAATAAAACCTACTTATTAGATAATAAAGTAGGTTTTCTAAAACCTACTTATTAGATAATAAAGTAGGTTTTCTAAAAGCAATCAAAGCAAATAATTGAGGAACTCCTGTCTCACCAACAGATCTGATAATTAAGCTCCTACTTTAAGTGAGCTACATAATCATTTACTCCCTAGTCTCTGAGAATAGGGCACAAATATATTTTAATAATTTCCGTCAAGGCACTTTCAAACTAATTATAAATGGAAAGTCAAAAGTTCCTTTTCTTTAAAAGAAGTAGGAATGGGAGGAAAGGAACGTGGCCACAGAGTCAATTCTCAATTTTTTATTATAATGGCACCAGTGGATAAATAAAATTCATAGTGAATTCACTGGGAATTCCAATTTTTACTTTACCTGCAATACTGATAAGCATTAACTGAGATCCAGAAAAAGGTTAAAAATTAGTCTAAAGTTTGGAAGACAGTAAACTAAGGAATAGGCATCCAATAATTTCAAAATTGGCTAATTAGCCCCTAAAAAAACTTTAACTTGTTAATAATTCAAAACTTGTGAAACATGGGGAATTTATTAATCAATGCTAAATATTTGAAAAAGTATTAATGGGCTGGCCTAGTGGCGCTTGGTTAAGAACTGGCTTGGGACGCCAGCTCTGAGCAGCAGAGCCCCAGTTCGGATCCCACATGAGGGCCAGTGACACTGCGTCCTCTACAGCTAAGATGGTAAACAACAGCTCAACCTGGAGCTGGGCAGCCACGAGTCGCAGGCTACGGCGTTGGCTGCAGCCCCTGCTGCAGTGGGTTGCCATGGGCTACAGTGTGTAGCCAGCAGCCAGCGAGAGCGGCCAGCGGCCACAGTGAAAGGCTGTCCAGAAGCTGGTGACTGATCTGCCTTGCCCAGGAAGAGCACAATGAT